CCACAGTGTAAGTAGCGGCTACCTACACTGACTTCCTACAAATAAATACTACTCACCTCTCTTCCTTTATTAAGACTACACATATTTTAAGGTAAATATGAGTGTACTGTATTTTTTTTATTATTATTATCACACTGGCCGATTCCCACCAAGGCAGGGTGGCCCGAAAAAGAAAAACTTTCACCAACATTCACTCCATCAGTCTTGCCAGAAGGGTGCTTTACACTACAGTTTTTAAACTGCAACATTAACACCCCTCCTTCAGAGTGCAGGCACTGTACTTCCCATCTCCAGGACTCAAGTCCGGCCTGCCGGTTTCCCTGAACCCCTTCATAAATGTTACTTTGCTCACACTCCAACAGCACGTCAAGTATTAAAAACCATTTGTCTCCATTCACTCCTATCAAACACGCTCATGCATGCCTGCTGGAAGTCCAAGCCCCTCGCACACAAAACCTCCTTTACCCCCTCCCTCCAACCTTTCCTAGGCCGACCTCTACCCCGCCTTCCTTCCACTACAGACTGATACACTCTTGAAGTCACTCTGTTTCACTCCATTCTCTCTACATGTCCGAACCACCTCAACAACCCTTCCTCAGCCCTCTGGACAACACTTTTTGTAATCCCGCACCTCCTCCTAACTTCCAAACTACGAATTCTCTGCATTATATTCACACCACACATTGCCCTCAGACATGACGTGTACTGTATGTGTATTTTAACCCTCTGGGATTTTTAAATATCGTATATTAAGTATGAGACGGGGAGCCAGGGCTACCTACACCTGACTTCCTACAAATAAGTACTACTCACATCTCTCCCTACATTAAGATTACAAATACTTTAAGATAAGTAATGAATGCACTGTGAATGCATTTTACTTTGTGTGTTTTTAATGCCTAGTTATATTACTAACTTAATATAATTTAGTGTAAACTTGTTGTCTGGCATTTATTTTTATTTATTATTTTTTTTTTTATTATCACACTGGCCGATTCCCACCAAGGCAGGGTGGCCCGAAAAAGAAAAACTTTCACTAACATTCACTCCATCACTGTCTTGCCAGAAGGGTGCTTTACACTACAGTTTTTAAATTGCAACATTAACACCCCTCCTTCAGAGTGCAGGCACTGTACTTCCCATCTCCAGGACTCAAGTCCGGCCTGCCGGTTTCCCTGAACCCCTTCATAAATGTTACTTTGCTCACACTCCAACAGCACGTCAAGTATTAAAAACCATTTGTCTCCATTCACTCCTATCAAACACGCTCACTCATACCTGCTGGAAGTCCAAGCCCCTCGCACACAAAACCTCCTTTACCCACTCTCTCCAACCTTTCCTAGGCCGACCCCTACCCCCCCTTTCCCTTTCCCACTACAGACTGATACACTCTTGAAGTCATTCTGTTTCACTCCATTCTCTCTACATGTCCGAACCACCTCAACAACCCTTCCTCAGCCCTCTGGACAACAGTTTTGGTAATCCCGCACCTCCTCCTAACTTCCAAACTACGAATTCTCTGCATTATATTCACACCACACATTGCCCTCAGACATGACATCTCCACTGCCTCTAGCCTTCTCCTCGCTGCAACATTCATCACCCATGCTTCACACCCATATAAGAGCGTTGGTAAAACTATACTCTCATACGTTCCCCTCTTTGCCTCCAAGGACAAAGTTCTTTGTCTCCACAGACTCCTAAGTGCACCACTCACTCTTTTTCCCTCATCAATTCTATGATTCACCTCATCTTTCATAGACCCATCCGCTGACACGTCCACTCCCAAATACCTGAATACATTCACCTCCTCCATACACTCTCCCTCCAATCTGATATTCAATCTTTCACCTAATCTTTTTGTTATCCTCATAACCTTACTCTTTCCTGTATTCACCTTAATTTTCTTCTTTTGCACACCCTACCAAATTCATCCACCAATCTCTGCAACTTCTCTTCAGAATCTCCCAAGAGCACAGTGTCATCAGCAAAGAGCAGCTGTGACAACTCCCACTTTGTGTGTGATTCTTTATCTTTTTTAAATCCACGCCTCTTGTCAAGACCCTCGCATTTACTTCTCTTACAACCCCATCTATAAATATATTAAACAACCACGGTGACATCACACATCCTTGTCTAAGGCCTACTTTTACTGGGAAATAATTTCCCTCTTTCCTACATACTCTAACTTGAGCCTCACTATCCTCGTAAAAACTCTTCACTGCTTTCAGTAACCTACCTCCTACACCATACACTTGCAACATCTGCCACATTGCCCCCCTATCCCCCCTGTCATACGCCTTTTCCAAATCCATAAATGCCACAAAGACCTCTTTAGCCTTATCTAAATACTGTTCACTTATATGTTTCACTGTAAACACCTGGTCCACACACCCCTACCTTTCCTAAAGCCTCCTTGTTCATCTGCTATCCTATTCTCTGTCTTACTCTTAATTCTTTCAATAATAACTCTACCATACACTTTACCAGGTATACTCAGCAGACTTATCCCCCTATAATTTTTGCACTCTCTTTTATCCCCTTTGCCTTTATACAAAGGAACTATGCATGCTCTCTGCCAATCCCTAGGTACCTTACCCTCTTCCATACATTATTAAATAATTGCACCAACCACTCCAAAACTATATCCCCACCTGCTTTTAACATTTCTATCTTTATCCCATCAATCCCGGCTGCCTTACCCCCTTTCATTTTACCTACTGCCTCACGAATTTCCCCCACACTCACAACTGGCTCTTCCTCACTCCTACAAGATGTTATTCCTCCTTGTCCTATACACGAAATCACAGCTTCCCTATCTTCATCAACATTTAACAATTCCTCAAAATATTCCCTCCATCTTCCAATACCTCTAACTCTCCATTTAATAACTCTCCTCTCCTATTTTTAACTGACAAATCCATTTGTTCTCTAGACTTTCTTAACTTGTTAATCTCAATCCAAAACTTTTTCTTATTTTCAACAAAATTTGTTGATAACATCTCACCCACTCTCTCATTTGCTCTCTTTTTACATTGCTTCACCACTCTCTTAACCTCTCTCTTTTTCTCCATATACTCTTCCCTCCTTGCATCACTTCTACTTTGTAAAAACTTCTCATATGCTAACTTTTTCTCCCTTACTACTCTCTTTACATCATCATTCCACCAATCGCTCCTCTTCCCTCCCGCACCCACTTTCCTGTAACCACAAACTTCTGCTGAACACTCTAACACTACATTTTTAAACCTACCCCATACCTCTTCGACCCCATTGCCTATGCTCTCATTAGCCCATCTATCCTCCAATAGCTGTTTATATCTTACCCTAAGATATAAACATTTATATACATTTATACACATTTATAAATGGAAAAAATGGCGTTCTGCCTTCCGGCAATGTCTGCTTTCCGGTGACAGCCTGGAACCTAACCCACCGTATAAGTGGGGCCCTACTGTACTTATATGATTCATTACCTTTGTACCTTGTTCAGCTATCAAAACTTTGGGGCCCAGTCCTTGGACCCATTATGTACCTCTGTAATCTGTAAATACCTTTGTAACTTGTCATGATTGTGACCATATCTACCTGGAGTTCATTACCTTTGTAACTTGCTCAGCTATCAAAACTTTGGGGCCCAGTCCTTGGACCCATTATGTACCTCTGTAATCTTTTGACTACTGCCCACAGGATAGGTATGGCGTGCATAGTAAACATATTAAACTAAAACAACTAAAGAGCTGAAGAGGGGTTGTTGAGGTGGTTTGGTCATTTAGAGAAAATGGAACAAAGTAGAATGACTTGGAGAGAATACAAATCTGTAGGGAAAGGAAGGCAGGGTAGGGGTTGTCCTCAGAAAGGTTGGAGGGAGGGAGTCAAGGAAGTTTTGTGGGCGAGGGGCTTGGAATTCCAGCAAGCACGAGTGAGCGTGTTAGTAGGAGTGAATGGAGACAAATGGTTTTTGGGACCTGACGAGCTGTTGGAGTGTAAGCTGGGTAATATTTTGTGAAGGGATTCAGGGAAACAGTCCTGGAAATTGTTAGCACAATGCCTGCACTTTAAAGGAGGTGTTTGGGATATTGGCAGTTTGGAGGGACTTCTAAGCTGTTTTATCTGAGTATCTGAGCGCCTCTGCAAAGACAGTGATTATGTATGAGTAATGGTGAAAGTGTTGAATGATGCTGAAATATTTTTTCTTTCTTTTTGGGGTTTTCTTTCTTTTTGGGTCGCCCTGCCTTGGTGGGAAACGGCCGATGTGTTAAAAACAAAATGCAAGAAATTAATTAGAATTTAGGAGGAAATTCTTGAATAGCACAATCGAACCTAGTATGTCCAGTACATAGTCGGGAGGGATCAGTCTCCCAAAAGCACTAGTGATGTGTGGATGGCCAGGAGGTCAGTTACGGTTTTACATAAAACAGCTTGCTGGTCAGCAATATAAACTATTGTACTGGAGTGCCAACAAGGGCTGGGTGAAAACTGAGGAACAGTCCCTAAGATATCGGATGGTCCTGAACTTATGAACATAACCAAAAGCTTGTTGGCCAATTGCCTAAAATTCCAAAATGCCTAGGGTCTCGGTGTAATGCAACAGTTCTTACGTCTACTGAAGTAACCCTGAATGTTAAGCAAAAGGGAATGGGAACAATTGAGAGAGTGAACTGCCTGTAATGCACTAAAACAATAAAAAATAACAGACCTATATTAAAATGGTAACAATTTCTTAAGACAGACAACACAACCATCCTCAGTGTATGCAGCAACCACATCCAAACAGCAAAAAATTCCTCACCTTCAAAAACACCTTAATGTATATTTCTTTCTGATACACCTTGTTTAGTACTGTTTGCTTGCAATCTCAAGAACAACAAAAACCAGTAACAAATTTTTTATGCACAAGTTCTGTAATTACTACCTGATATGACACACAAAACACCTTGATACACTGTGAATCCACAGTAATAACTTATGAAAAAGTTAGTTAATTATTAATTCATTACCTGGCATCTTTTAACAATAACCGACAGATGAAGTCCTTTGCTAAATCTGAAGTGCCACAAAAATACTCTGTGTCGAAGGTATAATCCACAGCAGTTACATTGTTAAATGTTTCTTGCTGTGTATCACCCAAGAATGGTGAAGATCCAGATAATCTGCAACAACAAAGAAAATAATCATTCAAATGTAAAATTTGCCTATGAATGCATATAGTACTCCACTGCATGGGAATTCATTAATGTTGAAGTAAAATCCAATAATAATTGCAATGATGAAATTTGGTAACATAAAAAGAAAGTGTTTGTAAATTAAGGTCATGCTACAGTTTAACTTAATGCACAAATTTGATTTGGATTACATAAACAATATGTTGAATTGCTTAAAAAAAATTAATTTTACCCAATTCATTAATACTACAATGACTGAAATAACTGAAGAAGATTTTGCATGACTGCCCCTCAAATAGAACATGGTAACAGAGACATGGTGAAAGTAATACTAATAAAATTCAAAATTAAGTTATAAACATTAAGATTTATAGTTTTGTGACTCTTGGAGAGATATGACCCTGAAAATAGGATTTTTTTACTAACTTGTTTCTGATGCACATTTTCAATAAAATGAGCAAAATTATAGGCTAAAGTACCTTTGTAGCTGCACACGAGATGCACAATATCATAGGCTCTATTATAAGTGGCCTAGACTCACACTAAGGAACTGGGGTTCGATCCCTGGATGAGTGTAAACATTGTATTTGTTTCCTTACACCTGCTGCCCCTATTCACCTAGCAGTAAGTAGGTATCTGGGTGTTAGTTGGCCAGTGTGGGCCCCGTCCTAGGGAAAAGAATTAAAGGGCCCCAGTGGAAATAAGCCTGTATGGCTTTACTGGGTTATCCTGGGTTACTAACCCTCTGGGTTAATAAGCCAAATAAAAACATTTTCATTATGGTCTTTTATTTAAAATGTCATCATAAAACAAAATTATTAAAAATCTATTATTGTATTATAACACTAAAACACAAATCAAATAATTTAGAATGATTCTATCCTCTCAGGTCCTATAAGAAAATAAAATTTTGGCAGAAACCAGATCAGAGCACCATGAATTAGAAAAATAACATGTGGCAGGGTATATCAAAGGGTATTATACATAAGCAACATGTTAACCTATGTTTAGATATGCTACTTAAAAACTTCTTCCAGTAACACATGAGTTTACTTGGACAAAATATGTATCACTCAAGGAAAAAAGAGCAATGGAATGAATGATGGTTAATATTTCTTTTTTTTTTGGGGGGGGAAGGGGGGTCACCCAACCTAGGTGAAAAATAGCCATTGTTAAAAAAAAAAACTAAAGTTTATACGGACAGGCCCCGCTTTACAGTGCTTCGCTTTACAGCATTTTGCTAATGCAGTGGTTTTCAATTATATTCATTCTTCATTTACTCAGACTTCCTATGATAAACATATTCACCACTCACTATAAGCTAAGGACAGAAATATTTTAGAGTAAGTAATGTTGGAGGGAGGGGGTAAAGGAGGTTTTGTGGGAGAGGGGCTTGGACTTCCAGCAAGCATGAATGAGCGTGTTAGATAGGAGTAAATGGAGACGAATGGTTTTTGGGACCTGACGAGCTGTTGGAGTGTGAGCTGGGTAATAATTTGTGAAGGAATTCAGGGAAACTGGTTAGCTGGACTTTAGTTCTGGAAGTGGGATGTACAATGCCTTCACTTTAAAGGAGGGGGTTGGGATATTTTCTTTTTGGAGGGACATCTAAACTGTCATATCTGAGTGCCTCTGCAAAGACAGTGATTATGTATGAATAATGGTGAAAGTGTTGAATGATGAAAGTTTTTTTCTTTCTTTTAGTCACCATGCCTCGGTGGGAAACGGCCATAGTGTTAAAAAAAATGTGTGTACTGTATATGTATTTTTTAGGGCTAGCTCTATTGCTCACTTAATATATGATAGTGTAAACATGGTATCAGGCTTTTATATGCATTTGAAATTGAAAAAAGGTTGCTTCATTTTAAAGCAATTTTTGTTCTACAGCAGTGCCTGGAACTTAACCTGCTACATAAGCAGAGCACACCTGTATGTGTGTTAATAAATTCTGTTGCCAGTTCAAATGTTATACAGTTTAGTGTTATCAACTTCTTCAGCTGTGCATAAAAAAGGAGTCAATAGAAAAAATTCTACAATTCCATTTTTATCCAGTACATGTGCTCATTACAAGTTTTTTTTTTTTTTACCAAAATTAACATGCATTTATACAAACAGGATGAGAATCCTGCATCATCAAAAACAGCTAGTCATGCAGTCAAGGCAACATTGATGCTGAGGGTGAGGAGGTGACTCAAAGCAGTGGAGATGTCAATTTGAGAGTAATGTGTGATGTGAATGCTATGTAGATAATTCTGAGTGTAGTACAGTAATTAGAAGATGGTATGGGATTATCTAAGAGGGAGGGCTGAGGAGGGGTTGCTGAGATAATTTGGGCATCTTAGAGAATGGAAAAGGATATAATGAGGAGGAGGGTGTATGAAAATGGGGTGGAAGACAAGAGAAAGGATCACCCCAAGAAAGAATGGAGGATGTGGGGGGTAAAGAAGACATTTTAAGGAGCTTAAACATCAGGCAGGCCTGTGTGAGCATATTAGATAGGAGTGAATGGCAACAAGTAATTTTTAATGAATATGATGTTGGAGTATTAGCAGGGTAGCATTCATAAATGGTCTCATGGAAACCAGTTAGCCAGATTTAAATCCTGGAGGTGAGAAGTTCTACTTCAGAGTGCACTCTGAGGTAGAACTGAGGATGTTGCAGTTGTAGGGTAATCTGAAATGTGATGGCAGAGATTCTATAGGGAAGTGGGTGAGAATTCTTCCTCAGTAAGCCATGTTTGTTGTAAAAAGTACATAAAATGCTGGAAGCTGCTGTATATACAACTAAAAGAAGAAAGGAGAAAATTTTTAAAGATGGGTTGTTTGAATGTGCATCATTGCAGTATGGATGTGAAGAAAGAATGATTGTGAATGTTATGAGTAAAAAGAAGGTGGAGGCCTGGCTCCAAGCAACAGAAAAATAAAGGTGTTAGGAGAATTTCAGTGGAGGGAAAGGGGATGAAAAGTTAAACTAGGTTAGGTGTACCTGAGAAAATTAGAGCATATGAATTTAACAGTTGAAAACCAAAGACGGGAGACATTAGATGGAAAGATGGAGGCACTGGGAAGACGAAGAGAATACTTTTAGGAGTTTTTTTGTATGCTGATGAAGAGGAGGCAGTGATTTTGTGCATTGGACAGGGAAGTATAACACATTTTATGAGTAAAGAAGAGCCACTGCTCAAGGCAGTGGTAGAATGAAAGGGGTTAAAGCAGCTGGGATAAATGGGATTAACACAGAAATGTTAAAAGCAGGTGGGGATTTAGCTTTGGAGTGGTTGGTGCATTGTTTAACTCTTTCAGAGTTTCTGACGTATAAGTACGGCTTACACGCCAGGGTTATTGACGTACAGTGGACCCCTGCATACCGTTGGCATCACATAACGTTAAATCCGCATACCGATACATTTTATCGCTAAGATTTTGCCTCGCATACCGCTAAAAAACCCGCTCAACGCTATTCGTCCGAGACGTGTCTAATGTGCGGCCTGAGCCAGCCTCACATGTTCCGCCGGTGGCATCGTTTACAAGCCAGCCTCCACGGTAACATCCAAGCATACAATCGGAACATTTCGTATTATTACAGCATTTTTGGTGATTTTATCTGCAAAATAAGTGACCATGGGCCCCAAGAAAGCTTCTAGTGCCAACCCTGTGGTAAAAAGTGTGAGAAATATTATCGAAATATACTGTGGTACCATGGTCAACTGCTGATGCTGCTGTAGTACCGTCTGCTGCTGCTGTAGCACCGTCTGCTGCTGCTGCAGCACTGCCAGCTGCTGCTGTAGCACTGTCAGCTGCTGCTGCTGCTGCTGTAGCACTGTCAGCTGCTGCTGCTGCTGCTGTAGCACTGTCAGCTGTTGCTGCACTGTCAGCTGCTGCTGCTGTAGCACTGTCAGCTGCTGCTGCTGCTGTAGCACCGTCAGCTGCTGCTGCTGCTGTAGTACCGTCTGCTGCTGCTGTAGCACCGTCTGCTGCTGCTGTAGCACTGTCAGCTGCTGCTGCTGCTGTAGCACTGTCAGCTGCTGCTGCTGCTGTAGCACCGTCAGCTGCTGCTGCTGCTGTACCACCGTCAGCTGCTGCTGCTGCTGTAGTACCATCTGCTGCTGTAGCACTGTCAGCTGCTGCTGTAGCACTGTCAGCTGCTGCTGCTGCTGCTGTAGCACCATTGTTGGTGTGGCTTATTGAGAATACCAAGAAACAATTAACCCCAGAGGGTTAGCCATCCAGGATAACCCAAAAAGTCAATGTCATCGAAGACTGTCTAACTTATTTCCATTGGGGTCCTTAATCTTGTCTCTCAGGATGCAACCCACACCAGTCGACTAACACCCAGGTGAACAGGGAAAAATGCCTGGAACTAGTGCTCATATTGGTGAATTTAAAGCCAGAAAAGGTTGGTTTGAGAGATTTAAGAATCGTAGTGGCATACACAGTGTGATAAGGCCTGTTCTGGAAGAAAATGCCAAACAGGGCCTACAGTACTCAGGAGGAAAAGGCACTCCCAGGACACAGTGTCTCATCAGTCATTGCTGCATCTTCAATAAAGGTAAGTGTCATTTATTCTTCATTTAGTAGAGTAGTACATGCACAATATATATTGTGCATGTACTACTCTACTACTGTGCATGTATCCTTCTCTTTGTGTGTAGGAAAATGTATATTTCATGTGGTAAAAATTTTTTTTCATACTTTTGGGTGTCTTGCAAGGATTAATTTGATTTCCATTATTTCTTATGGGGAAAATTCATTCGCATAACGATAATTTCGCATAACAATGAGCTCTCAGGAACGGATTAATATCGTTATGCGGGGGTCCACTGTACTAGTATGCATAAATTCTAGCACCTTCAAATCTCGCGGGAAAAGGCTGGTAGGCCTAGATGTGAGAGAATGGGTGTGTGTGGTCAGCGTGCGTGGTAGAAAAAAATCTGGGACCCAGTGGCGCATTGTGGGAACGCCATTTTAGTAGACCTTGTTCACCATGCC